AGTAGTGGTAGTAGTAGTAGTAGTAGTAGTACTAGTAGTAGTACTAGTAGTGGTAGTAGTGGTAGTAGTAGTAGTAGTAGTAGTGGTAGTAGTAGTCGTAGTCGTAGTAGTAGTCGTAGCAGTAGTAGTAGTCGTAGTAGTAGTAGTAGTAGTAGTTGTAGTAGTGTTAGTAGTAGTAGTAGTAGTACTAGTAGTAGTAGTAGTAGTAGTAGTAGTCGTAGTAGTAGTAGTAGTAGTAAATACCACCTTGTTCCCCTGGGGTACCCTGCTAGTGTGCAAGTTCATCCGATCCTGCACACATGAGCCATTCACCAGCTTCGTCCTCCAGCGAAACACATCGATGGGAGTACATAAAGACCTCAACAATGCTAAAGACAGTGTCAATGTCCTGCTCCCATGCTCAACCTTCCGAGGAGGCGGGCTATGGATCGAGCAATCTGGTGGCCAATGTGCATCGAAGGATGGCACACTATATGGCGAAGTACACAACCTCACCATGTCCGGCATCACCTTCAACCCCTACCATCGACATGAGACCTTCCCCTGGGAAGGACACAGGATCACAGTTGCAGTCTATACTGTCAGAGAAGTCCACTCGCTACAACCAGAACATCGCGAGAATCTACAACGGCTACAGTTTGTGATACCCGCCCCCAATGACGACAGGGCCACAATCCGAGAAGATTTGGAGGCATAGACAAATGTACAAGCAATGCCCCACAGTGTGCCAATGAGCCACTAGAGTGTGACTAGAGCGTGCCTTGAGCCACTTGTATATGCCACTGCTCAAATGTACAAACCTACGGAATGGCATGTACAGACACCTTCAGGATTATGGATTGTGGACGCAGGGAGCCCACCTCAGCCAGTGGCCCCTTGTATCATCTGCATCGCTCGCAACCTTTTTAAGCTTTTCTTCCGTGAGCTCCTTGAGAGCCCACCGTTGAACATACAACATCTCTTGATAGATGAGTAGGACGCAAGTTTGCTGCTATTCGTAGCGGAACTTGCCCATGTGGTTCTGTGCTTTTGAAGCACCGGTGCCAAGCACTGCCACGTACCTGACGCTAAGCTGAGCGACCGGCTGCGATTGGAATGGAATAGTAGTAGTAGTAGTAGTAGTAGTAGTAGTAGTGGTAGTAGTAGTAGTGGTAGTAGCAGTAGTAGTAGTAGTAGTAGTAGTAGTAGTAGTAGTAGTGAGCAGTGAGTAGTGAGCAGTGAGTATTGAGTAGTGTGTAGTGAGTCGTGACTAGTGAGTAGTGACTAGTGAGTAGTAAGAGCGCTGGCACGGCATAGCCTCTAGATGGCACATGGTTCGAGGTCACAGCATTGGCAGCAGAAAAGCGCGTGCGACGGCGGCGGCGGAAGGCCACAACCTTTTGGGATTCGAGGGTGCCTCAAGGAGCCCAGAACCTCCAGCTGTAGAAGGCTTGGTGTTTGCTTTGATCCGAGGCTCCGCCGAAATCGGAGTTCCAGATCCGAGAAGAGAAGCGCGAGAGCTCCCCTGAGCGGGCATGGGATGTCAGGATGACTTCATAGCCTCTTAGCGTTTTGTGGGACCTTCGATCCCTGAGCCCTAAATCCAGTTGACATCAGTCAACATTCGGCTCGGAACGAAGAATCACAAAAAACTAGCTTTCAGAAGGAGCCTTAGACCTAGGCCCAACCTGATGCCTAAACAAGGGCCACTCCCCGTAAAGCATGGTGCTGGGTACGGCTCTGAGGCACTGCGACAAGGAAGTGCAACATCCATGAGCATATCGAAATTCGGTTTAGAGCTGTGAGGGCTTCAAGCGTCCGGTTTTCTTTTGGAAAGGGGAGTCTCAGCTCTTGTCGTGGCGCTGTCCCTTTTTCCGTGGTCCTCTGGGTCCATTGGCCCTCAGACTCCGGGGAGTGGCTCCAGTTGTTTTGCTTCTGTTGGGGCAAGATGTGTGACAATTTCAATTCGCCGAGTATTGTCGGGGAACTACAACTTGCAGGCTTGCCTAGCAGCTCCGGCCAGGGGAACCGCAATGCCAGGCGGAAGCCGATTTGAATTCGATTTTGTTTAGCCGCCTGGCATGTCTCTGAGGATGGGTGTCCTCGCCCGTGACCTCGCTGTAGCGCTCAAGGTGTCCGACGAGGTGCCTGCAGTCTTGAACTTGCTTGCAAGCTGAGGGCCGGTGTCGGAAATGCTTCCGGAGTTGTTCTTTTGTGTCCCGACCCGTAGGCAGCCTCTGTTCTGCATGGCTTCGTGGTCCAAGCCTGCCAGGACATCCGAAAGAGGCGAGAAGAGCGCCGAAAGAAGCAGCAGAAGGCCGAAGCGGTTTTCACAAGACATGCACATGCCCTTTGAAGAGTTGCAAAGTTGCAGAGTGAGAGCGGTCCAGTGTGAAGCAAATGGATAACTTGCTTTATTCAGCAGGAAAGAGAGATGGACACCTTCGAGGCCATTGTGTTGTTGCCGGCCGCGATGTTGAACCCTTTTAAGCTCTGCTACCCCCGCAAAGCAGCCAAACTCTAGACCTCAAGCTCTGGAGACCTTCAGTCCAACGTGGGGAGGGCGACAGCACTGGTCAGGTCAGTCTTCCGGGTGTGCTACTGCCCTGATCAGTGTCATCAGTGTTCAGCATCGTCATTATGTTGTTTCCATCTGAAGGACATACCATTCGCATGCGTAAATGTGCACACTGTTGTGTGTGTGTACTGTATGTGTATGTGTATCCAACATATATATATATATATATCTATATCCATATATATAAATATATACATATATATATATAATAGATTTGTGTGTATCCCTGTGTCGTTGTGATTAGCGGTATGACGGGGCTTTTTAAGCAACCGTTGGAGGGTTGCAGGTATTGCAACCTGCCGCCGCTGTGGCAACAGTATCTATTCAATTCTCATTGAACTGTTTTTCGGTTGCTTTCTGTAAGTGAGAGTGTGTGTGTGCTAATCTGTCCTTGTTATCATGGAGGTAAGAGCAAATGAGCATGGCATCAAACGGATGCGACTGACATGGACGTAATGCTGGTGCTGTAATGTTTCAGCGGGCACCATGGAAATCTCGTAGTTGCAGCGCTGCAAGTACTGGCAACAATCGAAACATGCCGAAATCAGGGCGAAGGCTGCTGCAAGGTTCATGCTTGCAGCGATCATGTTTTTCAGCTTCGTGGTGCAGTCACGCTCACCGTGCACTTGGCATTTGCAGAAGACAGTGGCCGTAGTACCCATAGTGCATGACTGCTAGACCATGTGAAGAGGCGGACCCCATCTGGAACCTGAACGAGGGAGAGGTGCGGGCGTCTGTCTGGGTTGCAAAAGTCTGAGGGATGAGCAGTAGTGTTCCTTTGGGCTCTAGGGTTCCCTAGTATATTCCTAGTCTCCCCGTAGCCCAACACGCGACTTCTATTGACTAAGGCCCCGACATTCTTCAGGGTTTCGAGGAGTTCGGGACTCTCCCTCTTCGTACCTCATCCAGTTCCTTGTTGAGACATTCTAGGCTCAAGATCGACGAAGTGGTGTTACTGTTCTCCGTTCAGGGCCCCATTTTGTTGCGTATTCAGAGAAGTCGCTGGTAGTCCAAGGACCCTTGTGAAAGAACATCACGGAGGGTCTCGATGGTTCGGGCTGTTCCTGTTCTGCCCTGCGATCAAGAACCGGCCCGTTCTAGTGTTCCGCACCGTCGAATCTCCCTCAGAGACTTGGTTTACAACTACGAAAGCTTCTTGCAAATCAGCTGGGAGCTTTACTCGAGCAGTGTGCATGCCTTGTATCGCTTGCTGCGATGCCTGCAGGATTCTGTCGTCCGAGTCTCAGTAGCAGCCGACCTTGTTAGCCTCTTCAAAGTTGGGGTGGGCGCAGAGGCTACTCCATCCGCAGCGCACGACGTTGGAGAGGCTGTTCGGGTTTTTTGGCCCCCCGCGGAAAATCTAAGGATCCGAACATCTTCGGCTTCCCCTTCATCTGGGCCGAGCGCTCAGGGTGCAGTGTCGGCTTGCTTCGAAGCCAGACCTTCAGCTGTGCACGGCTCTTCAGGTTCAGCTTGGTCACATCATCCTGGGAGTGACCCTCGTTGCAGCTGCAGCGGTCGGAGGGAACAGCCTGACGCCGAGCTGATCAGTGGTCTCTGTTCTTGCAGCCTAGTCAGGCAAGCCGGCCTGACGATTGTTTCGCTTCAGGAGTGAGGTAGGGAACAAGGTCCGGGAAGCACATCACCATAAGCAAGCATGGTCATCGTCATCATGATCCTTGTTCCCTTTTACGGCCAGCTGTTGATATGATTATTTCTGTTGTTGTTCTTAGTGAAATAACTGATTTTACGGGCTACCAACTATTATTGTTTTCCTCCCGAGGGTTTAGCATAGTTCTTATCATTGTCATCATTATTGAAAGCTTGTTTTGTTTATTAGCATCCGGATGAGTGCGGCTGTATCTTCATTTTCACGGTTATGAATGTGGAGATAGTATCAGTAGCTCCAAAGGTGTTTTTGCTAACAGTACTGACATGGTTATTTGGCACGATCGCCTTTCTTCTTGTTGTTGTTGTTAGTAGCAGCAGCGGCAGCAACGGCAGTACCAGTATCATTGTATCATCTTTAGCATCATCATGATCATCAGCATCCTCATCAGCATGGTCATCATCATTACCCTCTCCATCTTTAGTGCGCTGTCAGGCTCTGCAATGGTCTGTGTCAGTATCAGTACTGGTGCCAGTACCAGTGCTACTGCTCCTACTGCTACTGCTGCTGCT